TGGAGCCTCTCATACCGCTGTGCCGGGAGGGGCAGACTTAGGGTCTCTGTGGAAGGTCAGGATCCCCCCATGGAGGACGGTCCACGACTGACTCCAGTTCTTCCTGTGGACAAAAACACAGTCAAGAGATGCCCGGAATAACATCAGGAATAACATTAATAACATTAATAACATCTGTAATAACATCAGGAATAACATCAGTAATAACATCAGGAATAACATCAGTAATAACATCAGTAGTAACATCAGGAATAACATCTGTAATAACATCTGGATTAACATCAGGAATAACATCTGGAATAACATTAATAACATTAATAACATCTGGAATAACATCAGGAATAACATCAGGAATAACATCTGTAATAACATCAGGAATAACATCAGTAATAACATCAGGAATAACATCTGGAATAACATCTGGAATAACATTAATAACATTAATAACATCTGTAATAACATCTGGAATAACATATGTAATAACATCAGGAATAACATCAGGAATAACATCTGTAATAACATCAGTAATAAGATCAGGAATAAGATCTGGAATAACATCTGTAATAACATCAGTAATAACATCAGTAATAACATCAGGAATAACATCTGGAATAACATCAGTAATAACATCAGGAATAACATCTGGAATAACATCTGGAATAACATCAGGAATAACATCAGTAATAACATCTGGAATAACATCTGTAATAACATCAGGAATAACATCAGTAATAACATCTGTAATAACATCTGTAATAACATCTGTAATAACATCTGTAATAACATCAGTAATAACATCAGGAATAACATCAGGAATAACATCTGGAATAACATCAGTAATAACATCTGGAATAACATCAGGAATAACATCAGTAATAACATCAGTAATAACATCAGTAATAACATCTGGAATAACATCAGTAATAACATCAGTAATAACATCTGTAATAACATCAGGAATAACATCAGTAATAACATCAGTAATAACATCTGGAATAACATCAGGAATAACATCAGGAATAACATCAGGAATAACATCAGGAATAACATCTGTAATAACATCTGTAATAACATCAGTAATAACATCTGTAATAACATCAGTAATAACATCAGTAATAACATCTGTAATAACATCAGTAATAACATCTGTAATAACATCAGTAATAACATCTGTAATAACATCAGTAATAACATCTGTAATAACATCTGTAATAACATCAGTAATAACATCTGTAATAACATCAGTAATAACATCAGTAATAACATCTGTAATAACATCTGTAATAACATCAGGAATAACATCAGTAATAACATCAGGAATAACATCTGTAATAACATCTGTAATAACATCAGGAATAACATCAGGAATAACATCAGGAATAACATCTGTAATAACATCAGGAATAACATCAGTAATAACATCAGTAATAACATCTGTAATAACATCAGTAATAACATCAGTAATAACATCAGTAATAACATATGTAATAATAACATCAGGAATAACATCAGTAATAACATCAGGAATAACATCAGGAATAACATCAGTAATAACATCTGTAATAACATCAGTAATAACATATGTAATAATAACATCAGGAATAACATCAGTAATAACATCAGGAATAACATCAGTAATAACATCTGTAATAACATATGTAATAATAACATCAGGAATAACATCAGTAATAACATCAGGAATAACATCAGGAATAACATCAGTAATAACATCTGTAATAACATCAGTAATAACATATGTAATAATAACATCAGGAATAACATCAGTAATAACATCAGGAATAACATCAGTAATAACATCAGTAATAACATATGTAATAACATATGTAATAATAACATCAGGAATAACATCAGTAATAACATCAGGAATAACATCAGGAATAACATCAGTAATAACATCTGTAATAACATCAGTAATAACATCAGTAATAACATATGTAATAATAACATCAGGAATAACATCTGTAATAACATCAGGAATAACATCAGGAATAACATCTGTAATAACATCAGTAATAACATCTGGAATAACATCAGGAATAACATCTGTAATAACATCAGTAATAACATCTGTAATAACATCAGGAATAACATCAGTAATAACATCTGGAATAACATCAGGAATAACATCTGTAATAACATCTGTAATAACATCAGTAATAACATCAGGAATAACATCTGTAATAACATCTGTAATAACATCAGTAATAACATCTGTAATAACATCAGTAATAACATCTGGAATAACATCTGGAATAACATCTGGAATAACATCAGGAATAACATCAGGAATAACATCAGTAATAACATCTGGAATAACATCTGGAATAACATCAGTAATGACATCTGGAATAACATCAGGAATAACATCATTAATAACATCAGTAATAACATCTGTAATAACATCAGGAATAACATCTGGAATAACATCAGGAATAACATCAGTAATAACATCAGTAATAACATCAGTAATAACATCAGT